TTAAAAGCAGTATTTGTATATGATACTAATCGAAAATTTCTAGAGAAATATGAAGGAGTGGTGGCTGCTCAAAGAGCCTTAAATATATCTCATAGTACTATAAAAAAGTATGCTAGTGTAGGCGGTGTTTATAATGGTTATATTGTTAGTTCTGTAAGATTAATAGATTAACCTAATATTAGATTAAAGAATACTTTTTTAAACGTAAGGGGTGTAGGGTTAGTGAAGTCATTATGGAATGGGGCATTCCAAAGGGGGTGATTTACTGAGACGACGGAGAGAGAGCTGAGGCCGATGAGGCGCGCGCCGGGCCGGGAGGGGTCGTCGAATTGGAAGGTGCCCGCGGCGAGGAAAAGGACGTGGACGATCAGAGGGATGAAGTTTAGGGCTATGGCTACGTTCAAAAGGCGGCGGCCGATTACGGCACGAAGGGGCTGTGGATGGCCCATCGTCGGCAAGTGTGATGGAATGGAGTCGATGGAGTCGATGTTGAAAGTGGAATCTGAATGTCTGGGCTGATGGTGCCTGTTTTGTATTGGTACATGCCGATACGACACGTGGTTTCAGAATTAGCCCGGGCTACAGGTACCTAATCCATCCCTGGAATGCGAACCCGAGGAACGCGACAGCGTTACCTACGGACCCACTAAAGGGGGCTGAGTTAACGGCAACGACAGGGGTGTGCAGGAACAGATCTTAAACAGGGTGAAGCAGACAGCAAAGAAACACTCAAACACAAGGAAGTGTCAACGGAAATAGGTATAATTGCAAGTTACAGTACCAGCACCATTTTTACTCGAACTACCTAGGCTTGGAGATTAACGACGGCTAGGATCAAGGGGTTGCTGGTCAGACTGAGGTTGTCTCGGACAACATAGTGCAGTAAGTGTACCTAACGTACCTACCCTACGTATATGGTTGGGGAGTTGGGAGACATTGTGATACTGAGCTTGGTGTGTTTTATATTTGGCTAGCCTAACGCGAGCGACCCCTTCTACCATGTGAGCAGTGAAAGGGTGGCCGGTGATAAGTAAGAAAGACGGGAAAATAAAAGTCCATGTATCGAAGTAGACTGTAGAACCTCGTTCAACTTGATTCCCCTAAAATCTGTTGGAAAGGATGAGTAATCAGACTGCCTCAGGCCACCTTGGTAAGCCCCAGGCACCAGACCCGAATTGGGGACAGAGAAAAGGCGGCTTCCGAATCTGCGAGAATCATCAATCAAGAAATCAGTTGAACCCATTCAATTTCGACCCCAATGAACCCCGTGTCCTGCGCTGTGCCAATATCCGTTAAACCCGTATAACGTCCAACAAAATCTGCCGAAATCTTGAAACCCCGTGCTTGGCATGTACGGTGTAATTACCTACATCTACACGTATGAACGTGCTGTGTAACCTCCCAAATTCATCTACTGCAGCTCCCCTGAGGCCTACTGCACGTGCCTACCCCTCCTCTGCCCGTTCCGCCACCCGAGACCGCCCTGCTCCAAACCACATATTCGCTGCTGTGAGCCAATGAATGTGATCTCCAAATTCCTCAATCTCTTCGACGGATGGTCAATTTGCGGCTGCCTGGACATCCATCTCACGACATGGCACATGCAAGCGACGTACATCGCGACGAGCTCTTTCACTCACTCGATGGGTATGGCCATTCGAACCCCCTTGTTCTATGTTAAGTACCTATTTCTTACCTCGTCGCGGGATCAGGCTCTTCAAAGAAGGGAAATATTCCGACTTGACAATCACCTGCGGGTATGACAAATACAAAGTGCACAAGGCCATCATTTGCCCGCGCTCGCTCTTCTTTGAAACGGCATGCAGTGGCCCTTTCGAGGTCTGTATCTACTTCTCGATCCGCATCAAGATAATAGGCTGACCGGCCGCAAGGAGGGGAAGACGGGCATCGTTGCTCTTCCGGATGACAATCCCCGGGTCGTGGAGCTGATGATACGCTTTTTCTACTACTTGGATTACCCAAAACTACCGGAAATCTGGCAGGACAAGTCCCCCGAAGCTGCGCAAGACGAAAAGCAGTGGTTGAGTGCGGGATGGGGGCCACCCCAGCCCGAGTTTGAGGAGTCTATCGGACCAAACTTGACGATTCACGCCATGGTATACGCTCTCGGGGAGAAGTACGATATACAGGGGCTGAAAGCCCTCTCCCTCGAAAAGTTCAAGAAAGAGGCACGAAGTTATTGGGACTCGGATGATTTTCTCCGCGCCGTTGAGGAGGTGTACACCTCCACAATAGATGCAGATCGTGGTATGCGGGATGCAGTGGTTGACGCGATCCGCCAGCATAGCACTGTCCTCGACAAGGAGTCAATGCAGGCTGTGGTCAGGCGCGTTGAGCCATTGTGTTTCGATCTCATGATGGGATTCCGGCCCGGAACGCAGATGCAGACAGTAAAGCCGTTCCGTCGAGCGCGTGGTGTATTTTAATGCTTTTGACTCAAATATGTACGGTACCTAGAACCCCATCACACCCGATTTCCACATCCGAACCACATCATAGGTGGTAATCTTGTGGGCTTTTGACTGTGATGCCGCGGATGGTCCACACCCTTTCGATGTTCATATCCTCGCGGCCGCTATTGGGTTTGTCAGCGCCGAATAGAGAAGAGAAAACACGGGTTTGGGGATGACTTACTCGTCTTTAAGCTCAATATACGGCTCAGTGTCCCCCGCGGCAATGTTGGGATTGCGGAAGATGACGTTGCGTGTCTACATCGAATACTGTTAGTATTGATGACTCTCAAAACGTAGATGACGAAAAGCCCATCACTCACCAATCCCAACGTCAGATGGATCCCCGCTGGGGACAAACTCATCTCTTCAGTCGCCTCCCGCCCAGCCACCATGCTCGCGATATTCCGCGCCGCCACCGCGGCCTGCGCCATACCCGGCTTCGCCGCCTTGTGGGCGCCCGAGTCGGCAATATCCCCCACGGCAAACATATGCGGATACCTCGCATCCGCAAACTGCATCGTCGGCCGCACCCTAATAAACCCATTGCTTGGATTCACCACCCCCTCCTCCCCACCACCCGCCCCCAACCCCTCCACAAACCCCGTATTCGGCGTCTGCTCCGTCGCCGGAATGACCAACTCCCCCTTGACCTCCCTCCCATCCAGCAACCTCACCTCCCTCACCCCCACCCCCTATGGAAACGACTCGGGTTGGCTGATGGACATAGGACGCTAAACACCTGCAGAACCTAACTCTCCAGCGCGCTCCGCTCTTTGTCACCTAACCACGAGATTTCAACCATAAGTCAGATACTGTCTAGAGTATACTGGCTCCGGCATGATCCATGTAAGGGCTGCTATCAGATCAAGGCAGAATC